TGACTTCCATCTCTATGACTCAAGTAATTTGGTAATCTGTTTTAAATTTCATGGATTTTTAAGCCAATAAAAATTATTGACCTCAGTTTTGCGAAAATCCTACTTCCGAATATTGTTCCTTACGTTCTCTTTTGTAAAATACAGTAACCGTGGCAAAAACAAGGTTCTCTTGGTTCCGCTACAGACAAGGAACCTTTCGTTACCTAATTCGGTAAAAAATCTTCCTAAAAAATGTTTGATAAAATACCCTCTAGAGGCATGTTTGAATGAGATCAATCCGAGCTTGATACTTGGTAATTTGCACACTTTTCTGTTAGACGTAACAAATGGTTATCGAGAGTACTGTTAAATGACATAATCGGAGTTGTGATTGCTAACAGAATTATCTTATCCTAAAAGCAACTCTTTTGATGACTACCTGCACTCCTCAGTCACTGCATGTAAACGCGCTTGCATTCCCGACAATCTGGATAAACCTAGATTCATTGTCGGTTCATCCATATTGGTGACTGCAAATATGTCTTGAGGAAGGTTTCTCGCGGTAAGGGAAACCTCATCGGGGTAAAGAGGTTTCAGGAAAAGTTGTGCTATTCGATACCTAAAGTTTGCAAATAACTTTATATGCTCTTAAGGTTTCTGATTAGCTAAGTTGAAAAACAGATATCCACATATTTCAGTGATTTGCGTGACTCAGTTAGCATTCCACTTTGCACAGTCTGCTTTTTCTCCGTTTCCCGGACTTGTTTACTAATGGGCTTATGCCAGAAATACGTGTGCTTTTTCATTAGTCGTGAATAAGACGTCACATCTCTAACACCGACGGTTGATTTCAGCGTTTCATTTTGCTTTTCACTGTTTTCGATCAGCAAGTAACCACGGTAAATAAGTGATTGGCAAAGTACTGTGAAATGGTTTCTTTCTACTCAAGAAAGAATACCACAAAATGAAAGAGAATGTTTGGCCCAGTTATCGATTTTGGTATGGACCAGTTTGCATAAATGAACTTATTATGATTGTTGATACACTGACTGGAATTACTCTGATAATCATTACGTACATTTTTTGAGTGTATCCTTTGCTAAAACGATAGATGTATGATGTTCGTGTGAATATTCGACCAGTGCCCAATGACAAATATTTACTATTGTACAAATCGAAGCTCAGTATTCTGAATATCATGCACTTCTTCCAGGTCCAGAACATCTGATTACTGCCAGTTTTATATAGAAGTAATGGAAGATGAAGTATTCAAGCATCCACACCAGCCGTTTTGCTTTATTGGAATATCCTTGACGATCGCATCTGACATAAAACAAAAGAACATGTTCAATCGAAAATGGTTTAGGCTATAACGTTACGGTTTAACACACGGTGTAGCTTAGAACATATTAGAACACACCATGGACCATTATTTAGTCTTTCCCGCGAAGCATCTACTGCCAACAATCTCTGAATAGAAACCTGAGGGCTAAAAGAGAAGTGCTTTGGAACAGCGGGTGCGCCTAACTGTAGCCTCATCCACATACTAGAGTTAACTGTTTTAGGAAGGAGGCCTCTTTATCAGAAGAATAATTATTTCACTAGAGTCTTATCTAGGAGTGAGAATCAACTACAATCACCGGGAATTGAATCGTACAAGAGCAATGACATGTGCATTTCCGTGACACATTTCTAGATTTCTTCGAGCAATAGACAGCCTTTCATTTACTTACCTCTAAGTTTATCCATAACAAGTTGCCTTTTTCAAAAGCTGGGTTCATTTCTTTTCTGAACTACAAGCCGATTGAAGCAGTTTAACATCTTATTGGGTTTTACGAAAACAAGACAGAATCAGCTCAGGAAAATGCATGAAAACTTGCAAAGTTCGTGAGACAGATTCAAAGCCACCTGCACACTTAATACATCTATCGCACAGCTCTCTCATTTCACAAACATTGCCTCCAAATACTATCCACATCCTTCAAGGAAATACTAAAAAACACACGTGTGAGAGAAGTTATTTTGCGACTAGATAAAAGTATGCATATTCTCAACCTAACGTATGCGGTAAAATGTGTTCTTGTCTTCAACAATCTTCATGAATCTATGCGTGAATTTTCTAGCTTCGAAATACAATCGAATGCCTACGTAACTCCCTGCGTAAGTCTGTGTTCTGATGGTTTCCTGACAAACTGGCATCACTATTCAGCACACTCTCAGAAGCCCCCAATATTCATTTGCAAGACGTCTAGGCAAAAAGGCAGTAAACTAAGTTGGCAAATAAGCCCTAAAACATGTGGTCAAAAATAAATCTGGGGGAACAGCAATTTGGCGAATAAGAATGCTTTTATTATTTCATCTACTGGCCATTTACAGAAAAGCACTGCCAGGTACGATCAGATTACTCAGTCCGCTGCCCCATTCCCAAGGGTATTTTGTTGACGCGCTCCAACTACTCTGGCCTTGAGCAGTGACCGACCTTTGAAATCAGCGTGACATAAAGGCTGACTCTTTGGTCGGAAACGAAAATAAATGATCCACGAACCCCATGTTCATCGTTTTATTCGTAATTTTCTAACCACGAGAGAACAGCAGTCCCTCCACTATTTTATCTAACTATACAACGCCAGTTTGTACGGCTACCCTATCCCATGTTATGTTGTCATAGGGCATGCGTTACTGATATTTCTCAATAAATACTGGAAGAAAAAGACCAACGCAGCAAGTGTCATTGTCTTTGGAACTCCAATCAACCATCAAGGCATGTTCACACCGGAATGGAAAGCTTCAGTTATCCACCATGTATGCATTCGGAAAGGTATCTGTGATAATCTTCTGGTTTTCTGGCAGGTAAAAGACTTTATAATCGTACTTTTGAAGTCCGATAGATGTGCATTGAGCAAAGAACAAACAAACAAAATAGTAAACACCAATAAGATACAACCAATAAGTTTTTGACGTACATCTCGTGATATATGCAATAACCTCATCATACTCCTTTTCTGTCGGGATATGAAAAGAGATGTGAAGTTTTTCAACTCATAAACTAATCATTTTTATGCATGACCATTGAGTATAGTTGAGAATAATACCCCTTACGTCCTTTATTTCGTCAACTACGAACCTGAGCTATAAAGTTCATGTGATTTTTATTGGTCCTGGAAAGATATGCCATTCCCTCAATTTTGTTTGTCTAAATTATTCACGGTTCATTTTCAAAGGTCTCCATAGCACGCAAGGCGTGATAACTGGTTTCCTCCGGTTTACGTACACATCTTCAACAGCTACACAAAGGATCAATTCCGCATTTGACTCATTTCTAGATCAGGGCCCTAAAATAATGAAGCACAATCGCAACTCTATTGGCAATATACGATCCAATGAAAAATTTATAATGGAACGACATCAGTGCATTATAACTCATCTGTATTTTTTGCGCAGAACTTTGTTGCACGGCCAACGCTCAATGTCAGTTTCTCAAATTCCTAAAAGTTCCCTCTTCGTAGTATAAATTTCATTGCTGGAAAATCAAAATCTAGCAAATCTATGCGTCGAGTGGGTGGTCCTTGAGCTGAGTCCGCTGGATAGTATGAAGATCTTTGAAAAGTTAGTCTATCCACAAGATGCCGAATGGCAAACACCAATGGAAGTGCTTGTGCAATTATCTTATACAGTACATCGCATCAGCGAATAAGATTAAAATGCAGTGCATGCAAAATTCTGCAATTCCGAAATATATGCCGATGACTAAGTCCCTTCTTATGTGATGCGGCATATATAACCAGTTTAAAGGCGTGGAATCCTGGGCACATTATCCTTAACGAACAAGAAGCTGTAATAGAAACCAAGCAACAAGTAAAGCACGTTCTCAGCGATCACATAATTTTCTAAATTACAATTAGTAAAATAAATTAATCATTCGCATTGCAGTAGCCGGAGGAAGAAAAGTTCCAAAGTGTTTTCATGACCGTCGTTGCATACCTGAACGACTAAGGAACCAGTTTCACCTCGTTTGTATTCACGATTGTCACTTGGATGCACATTTTTGATTATTGTTTACAGCTTACAGGATATTAGGTATGGCAAGGAATTGTTTATCTTGATCCATGAGGATTACTTCGTATTTCTTCCAAATCACAGGAATTCCATCCCTGTTGGGCAGTGTCCAGAGGATCATGTTGAATATGTTCTGGTGGAATTGGAAGAACTACCATTGGTTTAAATTTTTCCCTCAGCCAAAATATTGGCTACAGATTCCAAATGGTGACCAGTTAAAACCACGCCGTCTTCGATTCAATGGAATCCTCCAATGTTAAACGTGCTGAGTAGTTGCTCTTTCATATCATTTGTCGTGTTACAAATACTTACCTCTAGTCGAATCTTTAAAGGCTGATAATAAAGTCAACATATTAAGAACAATTTCATCAGCTTAACAGCATAGGAAAATGATTCACTGTGATTCCTGCTGTTTTCACAAATGGCTGAATATTATGTAGATTCCTGGATTAGTCGGCGCTCTCAAATGTTCCCAATATTTAGGCGAAACCTGCTACGGAACAAGGTCGCTTTTGTCATGATGAATGTTATTTACCGGCACTCTACCGGAAAACCCACACAGTCGATGTCGGCTTTGGACAACAAAAGCTAAGGAGTTTTATCCTCAATCTCACCACAAAAGTTTGCTCAAATATTTTCTTATTCACGATACTTTCCCTATTGTCTCTCAATGCCGGATGACGTGAAGGACGTGGAATTTATAATTAAATATCCCAAGACACCGGTGTGACTTCAAACCTCACCCACTCAAAAGTTAATGTTTCTCAAAGGGGTTGGCGCCCATACGTATGTTTCCACATCACCGATGTCAAATGATCGACAATTCGGTTCGCGTTTTCAACAGTGGATGGAATGAAAGGGTGGTGCAACTGAAGTTCCCTTCAAATGTCAGCAATGGCTGCACCGTATGCTGCTGGGACTCTGGTGAGCTGCTTCCTCCACGGTCAGCTCATTATCGCTTTTCTATGTGCCTCGGACGCCCGGACTCACCAATAAAGGTGTAAGTTAATTATCACTTGAAATGAGTCTCCGTTGTAGAAGTTAGCGTTGACGACGCAAGGAGGAACCTTGTGTCCTCTTCATCACGTATTGAGAACGGAATGAGGAATAGCTTAATCTTCTCTTGTATTAGTAAGCCATTCTAATATAGGTTACTGGTTCCCCTTACTTAACTTTTCGTTGTTGATCCAATATATCACATCAAATGTGGGCTGAGTTATGGGCAGGCGAGCATAGTGAACTGACTGCATGCATTTGGCAATGTATCTTCTGTCCGTCGTTATCACTAGCACAATTATCACTCAGTGCATTAAGGTAATGAGGAGCCTTTGTCTGAAAATTAGCAACTACCTAGATCCAACGATGATTCAGAGATATGAGGAACTTTTCGATCCATAGTTTGCTTCAGATATTTTAGTTTGCGCGACAGGATAATAATTGGACAAATGTGTTGATATAATAAAAAGGAAGGTTTTTATGAATAGTATTACCCTAAAACATTTTGAGGCAAGTAAGAGACTCACTTGGATGGCTGTACTCATCAACTGAGGATGAATTTGTGCGTTGATGCAATTAATGACCGGCTTTTACAGATTTTTGATTGTTAGGGAGAATTTCGCTTATTATAATTGTTCATTTTGTTGATGAGGCTGTGTACGTATAATGGACAAACGTTAATTATCAGTAGTCAAATAAGATCTTCAATTTGGAACAAATGGTATATAATTAAACTGGGTTTGAATTATCCTAAATCTGTAAGACCTCTACGGTGGAAATTTGCATGTTGGAATTTACATTTCGCGCCTAATGGGAACAAGTCTGGATTGGAGCCCAGTCTCGGCATCGCTGGACCGGAAAGGGGAAGGAATGACCCACTTGAGTCCACCTTGGAATTAGTTTCGGCCAGGAGAGGGGCAGTTTTCTCGCTTCTCGAATGAGCCAATAAGGTTTTTTTCATTCGACCAACCATGCGCTTGTTAGCACGACCTAAGTAAAAAGCCCCATGTGAGATAGTCAGCTGATGACAACAGAAAGAGACAATCTCCTTTAGTAGCCCATCACTTATAAGGGCGTGAGAGAAGCGATGTGGAGAAGTGGAAATAGAGAAAACCTGCTGGGAATAGGTGCAGTTTACGTCATTTCCGAGACTGCTGATTGTGTTTGCAAGCTCATTGCTTTCGAGAAGTAAAGTTTTTCTATTAGGTTCGTTTTTAACGGAGTTTCAACTGAAGAGGTAAATATTAAGTTATTGTCAATGAAAGGCAATATCAATTCAGATACACGAAATTCCTCCTGCCCACGAAAAGCTTAGAAGCTGGTCTGTTTCAATATTCTGCTAATGGATTCAGATAACACTTCAGTAAATAAAATATAACACACACGGAAGAATTTTCGCCCAAGTTCATTCACTTGACTGTACATTCCTCTCACAAAAACCCGGCCATTGATTGCTTTTCTACGATTTCATATTGGGACTACTTTTTGGTGGGCTGTGACGGAACGGGTGCCTCCATGACCAAAGGAGCCATCCAATATAGCTTCCGTAAGCCGGATATATAATCATGTCTGACAGGTCAATGGGTAGATCTCGGACGAAGTCCAGTCTCCGACCCAGTTGATGGACAGCATCTGGTTCTGTTCACTATGCCCCTGCAGAGGACACTCCAACGAATAAACGAGGATAGAAGCAGTTTATCGGTCTGAAAACCTACACTAGATGGAAATAGGAGTAGAGTACCTGGGGTTTCTCCCGACTGTGGTGGAAATCATCGCACCTCATTGAGCAGCTATCGCCCACCTAAGCTGGACAGCTCCGGATAAAAATTGTGATGCCCTGTTCACCTTCTGCTTTGTCCATTAGATGAATGGGTTTGAGAACGGAATCCGAAATGCTGTTCGATAACGAAGCACTGGCGAAGACAATACGGAATACCTGAAACGATCAGGTCTCCTCATGACAGATCAGAAGAATTTCCTTCACGGGTGCTTTGGTCACGTTCCTGTGCTGGGTTAATACCCCACTGCTTTGTTGATCAGAATTCTGAGTCAATGGCTCTGGTTACGGTTTCCGAAGAAAAACCCTTTCTGCATTTCCGGCTACCGGAAAGTATGATATACTCAGGAGGCTTCAGCATCCTCATTGTCAGGGGCCGTGCCAGTTTTTGCTTCCTTAATTGGGATATCTGCAAAAAGAGGACAACGGTAATTGCGGGTCAGATGAAAGCAATAGTTCAGGAGTACGACAGTAATCAAAAGCTCTTCTCAAGCCTGCACTTTCATTTTATTTGGCTGCTTTCAAAATTCGCACATGTCGGATATGGCAGTAGGTTGCCTCCCTCCCTCCCCCTAAAACTCTTGAAACTGATAAACTAGATGTATGCCGTATTTCTTGAATACGTATACAAGACCCCACATCTCTGATCACTCTTTGCAATTCAAGTACTACCAATACGTCTGGCTTTAATCTTTTCCCATCGGATGACCCGATGTCTAGCTCTCGTGGTCAGACCGGTGGTAGGACTGGTTTCAGCATCGTAAGTAATTGTGCACTGCAAGACTGGGTCCCATTCAGCAGTCTTTTGTGTACAGTACGGTTGGACGGTTCTCGACTTGTGATCAGCAACTAGCTGAAGCTTCGATGCTTTTTCGTCGTGCTTATGCACGCTTCCACTGACTGAGTTTCCTCGGAGACTAAGGATGAATTCTACCAACATTTGTCTAAATTGCTTCGAAACATGCGTTCTGCGGACGTGGTGGTCATTGCTGTGGATTCCAACGCCCAAACCGTCCTTTTTGAGATTGCGAAAGCAGTTCAGAGGCATGATTGCTATCCCGTTTGATCGTACCGATAAAGGCGATGATCTCATCCAGCTGTGCTCAGACCGCAGTTTGTTTCTGGTGATTACGAACTTCAGGAACAAGAAGCGGTACTGACTCACAGGGCGTCCTTCTACGTCTTCACTAGGGTGTGCTCAGATTGACCATATTTTTATTGATCACAGCTGACATTGATCAACAGAAGATTGTCGTTCGAACTGGTCTGCGCCTGTTGACTCAGATCACGCCTTGGTATGTGCTTGCTCCTTTTAAGGCCTCGTCTGTGGTCACACCCATATCAAAGCCGCTGGTCCCGTGCAGTTACTTTTAGATAAGGGGACCTTCGATCAGTCTTTTAGGCAGAGCTCTGTGCCAGTTTTCTATGCAGCCGGATCTCTATGACCAAGGTGAACTTTGGCAACAAAGAAGGAAACCTTGTGTACCACTTCCAAAGCCGCACAAGACTTGGGTTCAGGTGGGCTTCACAAATAATAGATATCTTTGGCATCGATTGCTGTGTTAGATTTTCGCTGATCCGTCCCTCATAATGGCATGTTCAAAAAGGGGCAGAAACCCTGAGACCCCAACTGACTGGGAGCCTGAGTAGTGACTATGAGCAGTGGTGGAATGCGAAATGTAGGAGAATGGAGAAAGCCGCGTCTACTGGCAGTACTTACGACCTTGACAGTTTGGTTAGATGTGCCGATCCAAGGATGCCCGATGTAAGTGATCTAAGAAGGGAACAGATTTACACTCAGAGATGTCGTCTAAACATTTGAGCAATGCACTTTATGGAACGACTGAGTCCGCTCATATCAACAACAGACCTGCTGAACATACCTCCAAGAGAAACAGATCGGACAACCATCATTCTTTTATAAGAAACTGAGGCTATCTGGGAGGTGAGTTATCAGAAAAAATAAAATAAAGTTTGGCTGTATGGGTGGTCCTCATCTTTTTCAATCACGGAGGCGAAGCTATGATTTTGAAGTTCATACAACTCTTCCGGATTGCCTCAGATAGTAAACAGATTCTCGGGGAATTATTTAGATCGGTGATTGCGCCGATCTCCAAGGAAGTTAATAGATTCCCTTGTGAAAATCACAGAAGAATTAACTCGGTAAATACTGCATCAAAACTGCTCACCGGGATTATTCCCCACCGATTATCCAGCTCCCACAAAAGATGCACGCATGAGAATCAAACAAGTTTAAGATCTTGTCAGGGTTGTTTCGACCACTGATTTACTCCTCGATAAATCATGGACACAGACATACCTTCCGTAGGCTCTTGATCTCCATCTTTCTTCTTCTAGACACAGAGTTTGAATCACTAGACCTCACAGTTCTCTGGCTCTGGTTCTAAATGAAGTGTCACATAAATTCCTCTTTTCCCTTCTAATACTTTCGTGCAAATAGCCGAAGTCGAATTCGTGCTCACGGTGCTATTCTGTCCAAGTTAAACACGGGAATAGTTGTTCCTCAAAGTTGCCCCCTTTTGCACTTTCCCTTAAATTTTTCGATAAATTGATTTCTGAGATAGCCTATCCTCGTGTGAGAATAGCGGCGTCGATTATCATTCAGGCGGTGAACTGTCTGGAAAAAGTGGATGATATTTTTCTTCTGTCTGAAAGTCCAGTAAGTTTGTAAGCTCTTTTCGATAGCCTGAAGAACAGCGTGACAATGTTTGGGATGCCTTTTGCACCTTCAAAGTGTAAAATACTGTTGCAGAATTGGGTAGATTACACTCCAGTGTTTGTGATAGCGGGGGAAGCTGTAGCTGAAGTAGAGAATTTTTTTTACCTAGATAGTCATATCTCACCGGATGGACATATATCGGACGAAGTTTCAACGCGTATTCAGGAGGCGTGTTTAGATTTTGCCAATCTCAATCATATGTGACACCTACGTGAAATCCTTCAGTTTGTCAAGAATCAAGTGTAAACTGCTGCAGTTAGATCCATCCTTTTACAAAGCTCAGAAACATGGACGTTAATGTAGATGATAGGCAAAAACTGCCGATATTTGACCATCCAAGTCTTCATAGTACTGTCTGGATACGATGGGAATACCAAATCCGCAATATTAAGGTTAGGCATGGGTTTTTGGGAACTAGCGGTCATTCATTGGAACAATCATTGAATCTTAACAGGTTTAGATGGCTGGGACAAGTGTTTTGGATGCG